CCCCAAAACCCCAAAACCCCAAAACCCCAAAACCCCGAAAAAAGTTAAATTTTAAAACAATAATAGATAAAATATATCGACCTGATGAATATGAAATCTACTAATTCCAAAAAGGAAAGTAAACTCAATAGTGTTATGGGACTCTTTGGCTGGGGCAAGAAAGACAAAGTAAGTAATCATGACAGAAAACCCGCGGGCCACAAGACGCATAGAGTTAGGAATGAGCATAAATAGGTTAGAAAAGCCAGAACAGGTGAATGGGGAAAGAAAGAAGGCTCCTCCTCTCCCTAAAAAAGATAATAAAAAGCAGCAATTTACCACAGATGAGGTTTTGACATTTGACTTAGACCCATCCAAGAAATTCCACCATCGCATTGAGTACTATAGTGGAAAATCTGAACAAATAATGATTGACGAAGAATTCTTGCTTGAAGATGGAGCTGATCCAGAGAAAGTACTTGAAGAGATGAAGAAATAAGCAACAAAGACTCAACCAGATGGAAAAAGAAGAAGCAAAATTAAGTCACAATATTAAACTTGCTGATAAAGAAAATAAAGAGAAAAAGGAGAAGACAAATGAAGAGAGTGAAGCCTTTAAGAAAATAAAGGACTATCTCAAGAAATCTCCTGCAAGTGATAGACTGGATTTTACTCAAAATCTCTTGAAAATGGCACAAGAATTAGGTAAAGATTTGACTATTTCTGGGATCCTCCCATCATTTAAGACTCTTGCAAAGGATAATGATAGTGTCAAAATGGCTCTTGTTGATCAGATATTACCAATAGCTTCTTTCACTATTGAATCTCATGAATGAGAAGAATATGATAAATGTGTAGCAGTAATGGTTCCTATCCTCAACGAATTTATGTACGACAAAAGCGAAAATGTCAAAAGAAAAGCAGTAAAAGCTCTGGTTGATTTCTGAGATTTATTGACTCCAGATGATCGAGGCAATTACATCTTGAAGTTCATGCTAGAACTGGCCCATGAAGAAGGAGATGAGAAAGCAAGAGTCACAGCATTAAAAATTTTGAATAAAGTTGCTGGAAAACTTGATTCAGAGTTATGTGAAAAATTTATTGTAAAAGAAATAAAGTCTCTTGCGATTGATCCATTCTCACTAGTAAGAAAGAATGTTGCTGCAAATTTGAACAACGTTTGCAGATCAATCAACCGAGATTGCTTCTTGAATGAAATATTCCCTCTTCTCACAGCATTAGGAAATGATAAGGAAGATGAAGTGAGGAATTCATGTGTTGAGCAAGTATCAACTATCTCTGGAGCTTGCCCCCCTGCTATTAGAACTGGAGAACTTGAGAAAATGTACATCAAGTTCATGATAGATAAGAACAAAAAGGTCAGAGTAAATGCCTTCAAGTATCTTGGAAAATTTTTGGACACCCTCAAAGATTTAGAAATTGACCAAGAATTTCTTGAACTCTATATAGAGACTGGGCTCAGAACAAAAGCTAAGGATTTACAGTTTTATTGTGCTTATAATTTTCCAGGAATGCTCTATATTCTAAAAAAGGACTCTTGGGAAGCATTGGAGGAACTCTATGTGAAACTATCGAAATCACATGACATAAGAGTGAAGAAAACTCTTGCTCATTCAATCCACGAGATCGCGAAAATTGTAGGATCTGAAATTACAGAAACTCTCCTTATTGACATTCTCAACTCATATTTAAGGGACCCGATGAAAGAAGTCAAAGTTGGTGTTATAAAAGTAAGAAAATTGTTAGCAATTATAGAATCTTCACCAATTTTGAAGTGTGATTAGTCAGCAACAAAGGTTCCAGTTCTTGAAAATATTTAAATTAGCTTCAGAAGAGAACTCAATGACTCAAATTGTAGCTGAAAATATTGGAGATTTTTGACTTTTATTTTCTGAGGAAGAAGTAACGAAATCATTGTTACCATTATTTTACAAACTTTGAAAATCAAGGTAAGAAATTGCAATATAACATTTAGAATGGCTCATGTAAGAAAAGCAGCTGCACGTAATCTAGCTAAAATCCTTGAAGTTTACAAAGGGAATCTGGATAAACAAGAAGATATTCTCAGAGATATAAATTCAAAATTTGGACTTTCTCGAATCTTCACGGAAAGACAATCATACATATACATGTCATCTGGAGTAATGAACAAAAATCCTGATTTATTTTCAAAATTTATGAAATGAAAAATGTGTCGCTTATCCAAAGATAGAGTCACAAATGTGCGGATCGTGCTGTCTAAAATCCTGAGCGAGCATATTCGAGAAAATGGGTCTTTCTATTTTGACAAAGAAGTTAACAAAGCAATTTATATTCTCCAGAAAGATAAGTCCCGAGATGTGCTCCACCATATTCAGGGAGTAATGCTTACAGTTAGTGAGGAGATCATTCTCAAAGAACTCGAGGATGATGATGCCCTTGCTGAAGAAGAAGCTAAACAACAGACTCAGCATGAAGTTCAGCCCCAAGAAACTAAACAAGCTGCTGCAGAAGAAGAAGAGGAAGAAGAAAGCGAAGAAGAACATGAAGGTGAAGACCATGAGCCAGATAACAGCGAAGAAACAAAGCAACAGAGCACACAAAGCAGTGAGCAGCCCAAAGGAACTATTGAAAACAAGCAGCAACTCAAGGAAGAGTCCGAACAGCCTGAAGTAGAACCCGACGATGAAGCCAACAATGAACATCAGCAGACTGAACAGAAGTCTGCACAAGAAGAGCAAAAGAACTCAGACTCAGACGTTGAAGCTCAGGACTCCAAAGGCCTAAGCGTGGACTCATCAGGCGAGTCTGCAGACAAGCCTATGAATGATCATGCAGCTGATCATGCAGATGAGTCTAGAGAGAACTCTGAGAGCATTGATCCAAGCTCAGACGATGCACCTATGGAGACCTAAGCCTCAAATGATTACGAAGGAATAATATATTAATGGAAATCAATATTTTTTATTGAAAAGGGGTTTTGGGGTTTTGGGGTTTTGGGGTTTTGGGG